TGTGGCTGTCCCATCCCTGGAAGTGTTCAAGGCCAGGTTGGATGAGGCTTTGAGCAACTTGATCTTATTAAGTGTCCCTGCCCACAGCAGAGGGATTGGAACTAGATGATCTTTAAGGTCCTTTCCAACCTAAACCATTCTATGATTCTTTTGCATAGTTAAGATTAGAAAATAGGCTGGTGGAGCATCAAAGGTGCCTGTTCTGGAGGTGGGTGCAGACCCGGTGCTGACAGAACCTGTCTTGGCGCGTGCGAAGGCACAGTGCTCCGTGGTGTACTGCCTGTAACCAGGGCAGTCTGCATTAACAGCAGCCAAACGGGAGAACAATTTCATTGTGTGATTTTTATGATTTCCTGTAAGTGCGTGTCTTGCATTTTAATGATTTGCAACCATTAAAGACGACACTACATATGGGATATACTGTGGTATCTGTAAATTGAAGATGTGTTTCAGTTTTGTGCTGATTTATAATTCCAGCTCTGTATAAATTAGCCCATCTGAAACATCTTCTAAAGTTCCATAGTTAAAGGTAGAAGGGGTCTAACTCCTGTACAGTACAGAATGTAAAACGTTTATCAGTGAAAAATATATCGTTATGGAAACTAAACATTACCTGGTGTTTCAAAATATCTTTCTAATTTTGAGAATGGTGAGAAATGAGATGATTGTATTCTAGAACAAAATTCTTCTTTCTTCAAATGGGTAGATAAAAAATTATGTTAAATCACATTTTTATTGCCCAAGATTGATTAAATGGGATGTGAGAGAGTGTAGAAACTGTGATGCTAATGGTAGACCTTAAAAAGAATGTAAGTCTTACAGAAGTCAAAAAAAGTCCTGTCCAATTCAGCCCCTCTCGTTAGCATTCTGTATGATACATACACATCCCTGCCGTGCTTTTGAATTAGTTGGGTGCCAGTACACTGAAACTTGTGGGTTTAAAATCTGCAGGTGCAGCACAGTTTCTTCTGGCAGCTGTTCAATCCCATGTGAACATGAGCAGGAGTAATCTCTTGGCTACAGAAAGGCTGGCTTGGAAAAAGATAAACGAAACAAAGAAACTATTGCTGGGAGAAGAATACTGTTGTAAAATGGGTGCTAAGAGCCGGTGTGTGTAGGAGAAAACAGGGAGGAGAGCCACGGTGTTTGACTTAGTATCTTCCTCTGAGATGTGCTATCCGTAGCTGCGTGGAACGGAACTACGTTTATGAACGCTGGCACTCTGCCTGGAAAATAAATGCAACTCTGATATGTTTGAAGTGTGTGAATTAACAATAGAGATAATCTACCCTTTGCAGAGCATCGCTGAAGTATTCCGATGTTTTATTTGTATGGAGAAACTGCGTGATGCACGACTGTGTCCTCATTGCTCCAAGCTGTGCTGTTTCAGTTGTATTCGGGTGAGTTTGCTTATTATAGTTTATTCTTGTAAATGTATGATCTTATAATACATCCTTACTTCTTTCTTTCTGTTTTTCCTGGAGTTCCAAGGATCCCTTTTTCCTGCTGTATGCTCTTTAGTTTCCCTTTCAAAATCTTTTATGACACCCTGAGGGAAAACTAGGCAGGCCATGTGTTACATTCAGTAGTGCTAATTATAGGGACTATCTGGAATAATTGCTTTTAAGAAACAGACATATAATGATCCCTTTTTTAGCATCTTTTAAGAGTCAGTGATGCCTGTGTGGAAGAGAAAAGTTGGGAAAGGAAACAAATGCTGACTTTGCATCTGTCAATCTAAAGCACTGGAAGGTCATAGTATCACCTCTTGTCATCTTGGATACGTTTTTAAGTGCTTACCAAACGAGTATGATATGATCAGAGACGGGCTAAATCCTTCTTGAGGGAGTCTGGTATAGCAGGCTGGAGCAGCACCTGAAGTACCTCGGTCCATTGATTGAGGTGATGGTTACGGATGTGTGTAACACTTCAATTCCAAGTCCAGACGCTGTCGTGTGTTAGTGTAGTGGGAGAGGGTTCAGCTGAGGTTTTCAGACCTCGGGTAGTGTTTCCAGAAATCGGAGCGATCACCATTCGCTTTGGAAGCTCCGACAAGAACTGCAGGTGAAGGATTCGTGTTACATATGAAGAATGTTAGGTGACATATTGTTGCTGGGTGGTGAGAGATTATTCATGAGAATCTTTAAATGCAGTAGTGAGCTGACAAATCTAAGCGCTTCAGCTGCTGAGCTTTTACACTTGCAAGTTGTAGTGGGCAGATGAAGTTCTTCCCTCAGCTGCTTGTCGTTGGAGCTTTCTGGAAGAGGAACATTCAGAGAGTCCTTGTGGATTTGATCACTGAACTGCAGGTATCTGACTTGTGTATAAATAGCTCCAGTGGAAGCAATAAGTTACCTTGAAGACTAATAATTTAGACTCCAAAAAATATGCTGCTTGTATCTTTTGCTTTCTTTTGTAGAAGTTTAGTCTATAACTATGGGAATCTGTGCCAGGTCTGTGGTTTCTAATGGAATATTTGGTACCTCAAAACTCTCTGTATAATTTTAACTGAAGTGTCTTCGACATCTAAAGAAAAGGGGTTGCTTTGTTACTAAGATACAAATGGCCGCTTCTTCTGTGACTCAGTGGTTGAACAGTTAAATTACAAATCTGTTAAAAAAGGAAAAATATAGGAAGGCTGTAATAAAAAGAAGTAACTCCTAATTAATGATAGAATGTGTTTGCTTGAAGTGTCTTTCTTACAGTCTCTTTAAAAATGTTTTTCCTTTTTCTTTCATAGCGTTGGCTGACTGAACAAAGAGCTCAGTGCCCTCATTGTAGGTAAGATATTTTTAATATCAGAAATTAATTATCAGGAATTGGCTGTACTGTCCTGTTACGAGCAATCTTTTTTCAGTGCAGGTTGCACTAAATTTGTAAGCTTGAATTTTTTTTTTTTTAATTTTTTTTTTGAGACCTGCCTGCTGTTACTATAAAAATTTACCCTGGTATAATACTTACTCTAAAATACGTTCTAGTTTTGTGACAAGCTAAGCAAGATCTTTGTTCTTTCCTGTTACACTGTTGTTTTCAGTGCATGTAGTTGGTATAATAAGAGTAACTAGATGATATTAGAACTTTTTATATCCTTCTTGCAATAGTCAGCGTCCAGAAGCTTCAGTTTTCAGACTGAAATGTGTACTTTTTTTATACCTATAATTTGAGAGACATGCCTGATGTCTTGCAAATTTGTCTCAGAGGTAGCTGTAATGTGTTGTGTGTTGTTTTGTTTTGTTTTTTTTTAAAGCAATGCCCCACTCCATCCCCTCAAGCCCTGGCACCCCTCAGTGCTTCTAGTTCTTGAGTACTTATCGATTCTAGCTCTTAATAGACCAAAAATTGGAAGGTAGCATACTTTTTCCCCTAAGGGAAGGAAGGTATTTAAAAATAACTAACCAACCGTTTCTGCAGAACTCTTTTAATACTCAGCTTTTAAAGTATTTGATCAATAGCTCTAAAATCCTTATAAGGAGGTAAATATATCTACGTCTTACAAAGGGGATGATTGAAGCACTGCAATGGGGATGGTTGAATAATGTGAGAAATTCTAGAAGCACTGAGGAATGAAATTATTTGCCCAGTGTTATCCAGGAGCCTATCAAGAAATTTGGAAATAGTTCTTGGATTCCCCATGTAGCCATTCTCTATGTCACTGGAGAGTGATTCGTTGTGGTTCCCGCCTCCCCCCAGCCCCTAAATGAGCAAATTGACTTAAAACATTATTTCCCCCCCTGGAGTAACTAGTACAGCTTCAGCTTTTTGCATGTGACTTTTCCAGTGGTGTAGAATTGATGAACTGAACTCACTTCGATGTGTCTCTTTCATCTCCTGGAGCTGAGTCCTTGCTCTAACTCTAGCAATGCTTCTTGCAGAGCCCCGCTGCAGCTACGAGAGCTCGTAAACTGTCGGTGGGCAGAAGAGGTCACACAACAGCTCGATACACTTCAGCTCTGCAATCTCACAAAGCACGAAGAAAATGAAAAAGACAAGTAAATGGAGCATTCTTCACCTAAAGCGTTTTGCAGTTTGCCTTATATGAGCGGGCTTTTAATTTCAGCTCATTATTAAAATCAGGGAACAAACTGTTAACTTTTACTTCCTTAAAAGCTAAATTATACTCACTGTCTGACTAGAAGTTGGGATTCATTTCTGTTGTGTAGCGGTATGTGAAAAGCTCTTCAGTGTCTTTGCCTAGAAAACCACTTCTGTTTCTAACTGGACTCAGTATAGTTTAAGTGGGAGATACAGGAAACGTGAGGGATAGCAATACCTGTTAAGGCTTAGCCCTTCTTCTTGACCACACCTCTGAAACGAGTCTTCTCTCGGTGGCATGTTCATTTGGGAGTCCCAGTAAGACTCTGGGTGCTGATTTGGTATCTCGGCACGTGAAAGCAGAGAAGCTGTTCTGAGAAGATGTCTTCTAGTCCCTTGTGAAAATGTAATTGATAAACCCAGACTGAGATCAAAGAAAAGATAATCAAGTCCCACAGAAAGCACTACTATTGCTATACCTGTCACATTACTGCTGTCCATACTCCTTCCTTGTCTTTGGAGCCTCCTGTATTTTCTCATGTATTCTCTTCCTGGGAGCAACTATCAGTACTTCTTCTCATGGTTTTATCCCATTACTAGTGCTATTAGTGTTTTAGGATATATTCTGGAGATTTGGAGAGGCAAAATGTGAGAGCCACCTTAAAAAAAAATGGACAAGGACTAATTATGTGTTCTATAGCTGCCTTCTCCCCAAGTTCCTGAATCCTAATGGAGGGGCGAGAGGCAGGTATTTTAGGTCTGGCCTGGCCTGTGCTTGGTTTGTTGATTGATGATGTTCCTGAAATTTTAAGAAATGACAGAGATCAGTCTGTCCAAAAAGCTTATGAGCCATTGCTCTGTGGTTACTTTAGGTTGCATATGATTAGGATTTTAATAATGTGAAATTATTAAATTCTGAGCTTGATTCATTGATGAAATCCTTTGTTTGATGGGTAGAAATCCAGTTTTAGTGATGTACTTTATCTCTGTGAAGTACTTCCTGAGAGAATATTAAGAGCAACATTTATTTTACAACAGGTTGTCACTGAATAGAAGTATTCTTCTTGCAAAACTATGCTGATGTTTTGTGCTTTGCTGTCAGTATCAGGTAGCAAAACAAGTGAAAATGTTAAAGTGAGTTTGCAGAAAATTCATAGCTATTTTCTGTTGACGATATGTGTGTTTTTGTTTAAGATGTGAAAATCATCATGAAAAACTTAGTGTTTTCTGCTGGACCTGCAAGAAGTGTATCTGCCACCAGTGTGCGTTGTGGGGAGGAATGGTAAGAAGAGACTTGCTTGCTTATATATGCAGGTGGTATGTTACAGTAAGACACTGCAAGCGTTGTGAGACAGAAATGCTTGTTAAAAAGTATTGTTATGGCTGTTGAATTGCCATGCAAATACTGCAGTTGTGTGTGTATTTATCATTTAATGTGAACATTGATTGCGAAAGGCGGTATCTTCTGTTTGGAACTAGAGAAGCAAAGTGAATTTTTTGCTGAAAGGAGGTCGGAATTACCTTCCTTATTGCAAACTTCCTGATGTCTTGGACAAACTGTAGATGGTGCTGAGAATTTTATGGGCGAAGGAAGAAGTCTTTCTCAAAGAATATAGATTACACCTACGTTATTTGAATGTCCTGGCCTGTGATCTTGAATATCTTCAAAGCTGGATTAGCAGCACAATCCACCACACTGTTTATTATCCTTTCAGTTGAATATTTCAAGGAGAGACTGCTGTCATAGTTTGGAAATATTATTGGCTAACAGTGTGCTGCCTTTGTTTGGGAAGGGTGTCTTAATAATAATAATAAAAAACCCACCACCCTTCTATCTTTATTTGATTCTTAGTTGCACAGTGAATGAAACAGTTTATTTTTGGAGGACTGTTGAAACTCCAAATAACTCTTGACAGGAAGCTTTGATGGTATGAAAGCCAAATTCATGACTTCTTTTGAAGGGAAGTGAAAGACAGACTTCCTACGTACAATCTGCTTTGGAACTTTTCCAAGATGAGTGATACACTAGGAGGCTTTCTTCCCCTCTCTTTCAGTAATTTAATAGGAGAGGAATAATTCAAGTTAAAGTGAGATGCTCTATTATTCCCCATCCCCCTCCTCCTTTTTCTTTTTTAACAGCACGGAGGACATACTTTTAAGCCACTGGCAGAAATCTATGAGCAGCATGTCACAAAAGTAAATGAGGAAGTGGCAAAGCTTAGGAGAAGACTCATGGAATTGATCAGTTTGGTGCAAGAAGTGGTAAGAAATCGATGCAAGATAATGTTACATTTTCCTGTAGCACACCCTTGTCAAAGGATAACTGTAAAGCGGGATATGGAAATATTACACCATTCCACGTGCTCCTGATGTTTTCAGTACCTGTGCAGATTCTCTGGAGCTAATCAGATTATTCCCTAGAGAGACGTTCTTATTTTTAGTTATACTCTTTTTATACGATGTGGAAAGATCAGCATATTCTCAATACTGGTTTTGTAGTTGCCAGACAGGAAAAGATGTGTTGGCCAACAGGGAGTTTCTATCTTGGTGTATGCTATCAAAAAGCTGGAGTTGCACAGTTCTTTGTAAGTGTTGACAAAAATAGGTCTTTCAAAGTGCAGTCTGCCCTTCTAAACAAGTATAAAAATGCCTGATTTTGATTGAGCTTATTTTCCTTTCTTTCGGAGAATAAATTACGAGTAATTTGTAATGGGCTGTAAAGCAGTTCACCTGTTGAGATTTGAAGCTTGTGTACCTCCTTTTTTTTTTTCCCTGTAGGAGTAGATGTGTTGGACAACCAAATACCAACATGTTCAGCTTTGGCAGTTTCAGTGGGAATTCCAACAATTCAATACAGTTTCTTGTGTTCTAGGAAGGATTATTTTTATGTTCTGCTGAATGCCGTTGCATTTATGGTGTAGTCTTTGTGCAAATAAATTAAGTTTTTTTTAAACAAGTTTCCATATGTTTTTTGTCTGTGCTGTTATTCAGGTAGCTGTTTGCCACGTGCAGTGGTAGGTTAGTGCTGCTTCAGCTCAAACGTGGCATATCAGCACGTGGGCTACTTGTAAGTATTTGTAAAATATTGAGAGGATTGTGCCCCTCACCTTCCAGGGTGAAGGATGCCATTTTTATCAAATTATTCTTGTTACCAAGAGAGTAACTCTTCTGTGCTGCTCGAGTTACAGAAGAGAAACTGACAGTTGTATTTACAAGTTTTGATACTAAATAATCCCCATATGGCAAATCTCTATGTAATGAGAAAACGTTGCTCAACTTTACTGTTAACCTTTGATCACCCAGCAGAGGGCACGCTCGTGTACTCGGTGAAAGTCAAAAGAGATTTACAACTGGCAACAGCCTGTAATGCAGCTCATCCGAAAACACCTTTCTTACTATTTTCTTATTCTAAACATGCAAGTTTCAGTAAAACTAGGATTTTTTTTTTTGTCTCCTCATAGAAAAACAGGGCTGGAGGGGTCTCTAGGGAGCACTAGGCATTTCTGGGATCTGAGAGAGTGAAGTCAATATGTAAATGAGTGAAAATGCAGAAGTGTGAAGGCTTTGGTTTTGTGCATGTTTTTTCCTGAACCCTGTTTCAGGAGAGGAACGTGGAGGCAGTGCGAAGCGCGAAGGATGAACGAGTTCGGGAAATCAGGAACGCAGTGGAGATGATGATTGCCCGGTTGGACACTCAGCTGAAGAATAAACTTATAACATTAATGGGTAGGTATTTGCCTGATCTGTTATGAGTAGGAGCAATATGTTAACAACGTGTACATCTATTGAGAAACTTTCTTGCCCTGGGAGCATGACTCCTTACACAGTTTATGCTATTAAGCAAGTTAACTGCTGACAGAGAACTACCTACAGCAAAGCTTTTCGTTAATTATGTAGTTACTGTGATACAGTTCTAAGTTGTTGGGTGTAAGTTGGTTATGTTCTGTTAGAAACTCCTGGATAATAACTTGGAGAACATTTCTGTCTAGTCAGAAGATGTTTAATACCTTTCACTTAAAATGTTTTTACACCGTCATTTGTGTTAGCCAAGAAGTCCATCTTTGTAATTCAACATCTTTGTGATACATACTCTTTTTATTGTAATTTTAAAAAATCAGAAGTCCGTATGAGATGTCTGGTGAGCAGCAGTTCAGATGCACACACACAGACAGCCTCGTCTGCACGTGAAGAACACGGTGTCTGGAATCAGAGCTGCTAGTTTGGTTCCTGACACTTTTGCTAACTGGAGACCGGTCACTTTAGCTCTCCTTTGGTGTAAACAGAGATGAGAAGACAGGTGGTACACTCACAGGTGTTGAAGCTTACCAAAGCAACTCTACTAAAAATTAAGTGTTGCTTTCAACGAGGAGGACAGAATGCTCCTCAGCTGACTGCAACTCTGTGCAGGCCTTGCTCAGCTGATTTTGCATCTGCACCTTGGTTGTTCCATATGCGCTTTCATTTCTGTAGTGCATCGACAGGAGCATGTACTGAAGGTGAACATCATCTGGGGATATGGGTTTCCTTAGACCCTTCTGAAATGTTACACTTAGGACGTTAGTTTTGCACGGTACGCAACAAATAGATCAAAGTACACAGACGCGTAGATCCTTGACTTTGTCTATGTACTCATCTCAAAAATAAAAGGCAATAAAATAGCTGTGCTGAAAATGTATTTCTGATGCTTGAAATCTTCACACAGCCACACACACACACCCCCCACCCTCCCCGCCCCGTGCCGAAGAAGATGTGAAGTGTTCATGCTTGGAAAATGTCTTTAGCTTTGCTAATGCTTGTGTTTATTCTCAGTTCACTTCCATTAAAAACAAAACAACACAGTAAATGTATATTAGCTATATTTCAAGTTCCTCTTCAAATTCATGTCAGTACTTTAAAATGCTTGCTTGAAGTTAAATCCAGGATTGGTACGTTCATACGTAGTTTGTGCCTATGTGGAATACAGTAATGAGTCACAAGATTTGTTTTAACATGTACTGATTAAAGATCAGTCTTAAAGCTGAGGTAGAATGTCTTACTTATTTGTATGTACAGGTTGACATTTTGTCCATGTAATGCCTTTTCTCTAAACTGCCAAATGTTCTTCAGGTATGTCATGTATGATGGAGACAAAGTAAATCCCCATGATAGAAAACAAAGGTTTTTGTGACTTAGTTTTTATTCTTTATGCTAGTTGAAATGCATAAACACATTTAAACATTGTTTGTTCTTTTTTATAAAAAAAACCCACTTAAATATCAAAGTCAATAGAAATGGTGGCTTTTAGGAGAAAAGTGTCAGCTAATAGAGGGGAGAGGCTTGTCTGGATGAGAGCAAATTCAGTGAAGTCAAACTTGCCTTTTTTTTTAATTTGTAAAAAAATAAGTACCTCAAGACAACGAACCAGCCATTTCTGGGACACAATGTTTCGATACTGTCTTAACCTCAAGTGAGTTCTTCACTGCAGCTCTAATTAAACACGTAGGCTTGCTTTTAAAATGCTTTCTCAATCAACCTTGGTATATTTAGAAATCCTTTACCTTAGTAGGTTCCAGGGCAGCTTCCAGGTAGAAAACAGTTAAAGCTCGGTTCCTTAAAATCCAGTGAGTATGTCTTTTTTTCTTTAAATGTGTCTTCTTTTCTTCAAACAGGTCAAAAGACGTCTCTTACTCAAGAAACTGAACTTCTGGAATCCCTGCTTCAAGAAGTAGAACATCAGGTGATTATGAAAAGAGCTGAAATGTTGTGTTACATAGATCCCTCCTCAGTCGGCCTTTCTTTTTATTTTATTTATTTTTAAGCTATTAATTGATGGATATTTCTTCAGGGTATCTTTCCATTTAAGTGGCCTTACGTTGTACAGTTTCTTCTTAAAATGAAGTATGTTTTCTAGAAATGATGACAAGTGTACTGTTACTTGAAAGACTAGTGCAGGGATTAACAGCAATATCATAAAAACTACAGGGTTATGTGTTTGTTTAAGGTAAGTTGCATTTAGACAGTATGAGTAGATTCTGTTAGTTCTGCCACTGCGTATGAGTAGTGGTAGCTATAAATGGACAATAAACAGAAATGTTCTGTTTCTCGTTGTTCTTTTGAGGGAAACTGAACTGGTTCTAGTTTTTTTTTATTCCTACCCACCTGTCTTTCAAAGATGACATGGTATCACTCTATTCATCTTGCTTGTAGCTATACAAGTTCAGCTTTTGTAAATGAGTTCTACAGAGCTTGATTGTACTTGCCCTGAACAATTTCTGCTTGCTCTGAGGAAATGGAAGGGTTTTCTTCTCCCTCCAAAAAGGAGGAAAAGCTTACTAACTAAAAAGTCGTGAGATGAGGCAGACATCTGACAACGGTGTAGGTCTCTGCTGCTTATTGAAAGTCATCATATATGTCTTTAATCAGGAGAGGCTTTGAATTTCGTATTCTTTTTGTGAAAGTAATAGAATTATTTGAAGAACTGTCCAGAATGTGACTTTTTAAAATGTACATATTAGTCTCATTTAAGCCTGACAAAGTTTGAAACGTAAGTCTAAAATATGTTTTTCCAATATTTAAGGTATAAATAAGAAGCAGAGTAGATTTGTCTCCTTTAGTAAAGAGATCTAGAAAATGCGGTGCTAGCTATTCAAGGAATATCTAACAGATGATGTTATTTTATTTCAGGTTTTAAAAAGCCCTTTGTTATTACACTGGTTTTGTAAGATATCTCAAATGAAGTGGGATTTTTGGCCTGCTATTTAAAACAATACAGGCTTTGTTTTGTTCAAATTTGGATGAACAAAAAAAAGTACAGTGCTTGTCAATACAGCAGTAAAGGAATAACTAAAATGTAAAAGAACTGTCTAATGTCAGAGGAGTTTGTATCGCTGTGTCGTGATGTATTTGAGCAAATTATCCCAATGCCTAATTAAGCATCCTTTCCAGATTGATTTACTTTGTTATTGGTGCCTAAACACAGTAGTACATGTGACTTGATATTCATCAGACTCCCTATATCTAATTTAGTGTAACGTAAGTGAAGTACATAGTAGTTGCTTCAACTTTTGTTGTAGAATTTCAGTCTTAAATATTCAGGACTTCCCAAATGGATTGCGCAGGCTTTGGAGTGAGACACAATTAGAATATCTATTTTAATTTCCTGGCAGAAATTTTAGAACACGTGACCATGGACTTCATAGGCAAATTCTTAGTCTGAAGAGCTGACAGTTTCAAGGGAAATACAGCCCAAACAAATGAAAAAAAAGGAAAAACAAACACCCTCGAAGCTTCGTTTTACATTGTATTGTGGGCAATCTTTCTGAAGCTCTGACAGACCTGCAATTTATTTGTTTTAAAACAAAAGTGGTCAAAACCTTTGGTTTATACTAATGACATAAGGATATTTTTTCCCTTTTTGTTTTTTCCCTGTACAGTTGCGATCGTGCAGTAAGAGTGAGTTGATATCCAAAAGTTCAGAGATCCTGATGATGTTCCAGCAGGTTCATCGGAAGCCTATGGCCTCGTTTGTCACTACTCCTGTTCCCCCAGACTTCACAAGGTGAACACTGCGTTTCCTTTCTGTTGTAGTTTGAACTTGAAAGCCATCTTATAAAGCTTTGTTTTGCTTGTTGCTGTAGTGAAGGGGCATCATGCTTCCCAGCTATGTGAGCAGTGGCAGTGGTAATCGGAGGTAAACTTGGCATCTCTGGTTGAATTTGGGTCCAGGCTTATACACCGAAAAAGATAAACTGCTGAACTTACTCCTCTTAGTACTCTATGCCGCAAGCAAGCTTTTCCAGCAGGGCTTGTTTTATGTCTGTAGTCCCTGCTGGGGAGTCAGGACAGTGGGTTCCAGCTGACAATTTTTTTTCTCTTTTACACTTAGTTTACTGACTTGTCCTTTTTCTCTTATTATCGGGTCATTCAGTATATAATTGCAAGGCTGTCTTGAGATTCCTCTGCAGGTCACCTTAATTCAGAATATATAGCCAAAATCACTTCACAGCACAATTCTTCATAAAGTGGGTGCTGCTAGTGCTGGGTTCTGGGGAAGTCTGAGAGTTTAGGCTAGTTGGCTGAAAAGCATCTCCAAAAAATTGGAAGTAGGAGAAGTCTTAAAAGAATTCCTCAATTAATTTTGCGTCCTCTAGCAAAAATCGGTTTGGCTTGCTTTTAAGTGCAATCTCAAAACTATTTTCCTGACATGTTTTCTGAAAACAATCATTTAATGCCTCTCTGAGGAGAGTTTAAATCCGAATGTTCATTTGCCAATAGCAGTAAGGTACCTCCTGCTCTGAAACACAAACCATTTAGGCTTTGTGCTTTCAGCCATGCAATAGTTTCATCCTTCCTAGAACTACCAAGGAGCCTTACATTAAAAATTCACCTTGTTAAGAGATTACTAGCCATCGCAGGTAAAAGGGCAAATCCTCTTAAATACTTTTGGTTGCTCCTTCGTTACATAAAATACTTGGTTTATTGTGCGATATGACATGAAGGGGTACTGAGGAGAAGGCTTATAAATGGAATTTTCAGAAGTACTGGAATAACCCAGTGTAGTCCTAGTGAATTTCAGTGACTCTGATACCCAAATCATCTTAAATGCTTCTGAAGATTCCGAAAGTTGGGATATTTAATGTCGTGTTATTCCACTCTAATACATTTATTCCCTCCCAGTGAATTGGTTCCAGCCTATGACTCAACTACGTTTGTCTTGGAAAACTTCAGGTAAGAATGTATCTTAAATTACTGTGAATATTGGGAAGCTTTTTCTGTTTCTTCTGAACATGACTAGTATTCTTTAAAACGTGGAGTAGTCTCTACAGGAAACTGTTCGATACAAACTAAGCTATAGGAATTCAATCAAAAATCTCTTCTTCCCCAGGTGAACAATTAACCCTAGCTAAACAGTTAGCTGAAAAGATTTTTCCGTGGTAAAGGCAAACTACTTATTTTTCTTAACAAAGATTGAATAATTTTGCAAGGAATACATACATTTGTATGGACATTTTGCATGGGCCTCATATGCTGCTAGGTGCTTTGTGCAGCAAGAAGGATGATTTTGGAATGTGAGAGTGCAACTGTACGTGCAGCTTCCTGTTTCATGAAAGGTTTTGCTTTGTCCCAATAGCAAATGTTTTTTCTCCTTTCCCAATAGCACATTGCGTCAGCGAGCAGATCCTGTTTACAGTCCACCTCTTCAAGTGTCAGGACTTTGCTGGAGATTGAAAGTTTATCCAGTAAGTTATATTTTCAACTAGAGTTGTTGTCCCATCCAAAACACTTCACCAGCATTCTTGTGCTTCCCTTGTAAGGAAACATCAGTTAGTCTCTTCTTAGGTTGTATATAAAAAGCTGTATGAAAAGAACGTAATAAGGTTGTGGAGTTGATCACCAACCTTTGGAGTATTCCCTCTCTGCCTCCAGATATCCAGCACAAACATTCTCAGTGTAATTAGTCTGGTTAATTTAAAAGCAATTAAAAATGGGCCTCAGCAATATGCCATAGGAACTTTAATAGATATTTTTACGCTTTTTGTCTGCCTGAGTGTTTTTTGGAGATGTTTCTTGCGGAACTGAGTATAGAATAACTCAGCGTATTTATGTTTATGAATAAGTCATTGGGAAGTTGAGAGGAGGACAAGGTATTAGTTGAAAGGGAATCTGTTTTCCTGTGCAGCCAGTTCTCAAATGCTGACATTAAAACGTGTGTGTCGTACTGATGTCCTTCCAGTGCGCTGAACGTTGGGATTTCAGAAGCAATATCTTTGTCAGTGTTGGAATGTGAACCCACAAACTGTGATCTTTTTACAGTCCACTAGTCTGGTCAGTGCTTCCAGGAAGCTCTGGCTGCTGCTGCAGCTGTTTTTGGTGAAATGTGTGTTTCGTGGTGGAGTGCAAGTTTTGTTAGTGATTTACGTGGCATCTTCAGAGAACTGGATTAACCTGTTAAGCCCACACACGCACAGGATCGTGGTCCTGCAGTGCAGAAGTGGACCCCTGTGTAAGTTTTCAGGGTATTGTAAATTCAGGATTTGACTACATAAGGTGTGCTGTCAGAAGGCATTAAATCTATTTTTTAAATGGTAAGTTGAAATGTTTCTTCAACCTAGAGGGTTCAAGTTGAGCCATTCCTCATCCTTGATTAAGGTGAGTGCGATGGAGGTTTTGCTGTTATTTTTTTTCTTGATTTCTGGTGGTTCTAATATTGTTTCTTAGTTAATTGACCTAACTTTTTCCTGTTGCATGTTTTTGCTAAAGAAATTGCTCTCCTTTCAAAAATTAAGTAGCTTTGAAATGCAGCTGTATGCAAAATATTTCAGAACTAATGTTTAACCTGAGCTGTTTTCATGTTGAGAATTTGAGAAGAACTGGACTGTAATAAACTAAGTAGATTTTTATGATCTTTTTTACTGCTTTTTCTGTATGTTAAATAAATGTTTTTCTGATACCTTGATAAGTGTTTGTCTATTTAGTCTTCCACTTAATTGAACCCCTAAAATGCTAATAGAGTAATTAAAGCTGTGTTTTGAGATTTATGTCTGAGATAACAGTACTAGACCGCACATGTGCTTCTCGATGCAAACTTCATGTTGATTCAAGTTCCAGTAAGAGTTCTAGGTCACAGGAGACTGAAAATCAAAACTGTAGCCTAAAAAGTAAACTACTGCTGCAAACTGGATTGGTTCAAGCTGTATTCTAAACTTCAAGGGTATATCAAGCGGTTTTGTTCTGTTTTTCTAGGTTTTGCTTTCTCTTTTTTAATCAATTCATCTCTCAATTTTATTTTATTTATTTCAAGGACGGAAACGGAGTAGTACGGGGCTACTACCTGTCTGTGTTCTTGGAGCTGTCTGCTGGATTGCCAGAGACATCCAAGTAAGCAAACCTGTAGTGAGAGCAGCTGTTGGGTTTGGTTTTGTGTGGTTTTTTTTTTCTGGTGGCAAAGCATCTGGAGAGGTTTGCAAAGAATGACCTCAGGTTCTGTAGTGTAGCTAGGGACTGATGGAGAGCCCTCTCGAAAGGAATAGTGAGACTTCTGTTGTCCATTGAGCTTTAAATTGTGCCCAAAGATAATATGTTAAAAGTTTTTCCTCAGTGCCTTTCTCGAGATGAAAAGCAAGCTGGCAAAACAACCGATAAGGGAATCTGTCTCTCCTGGTATTCGATCCTGGAGTTGGTTTGCCACTCTGCTCCCTATTTCTGCTTTCCTCCCCCTCGTACTGTTTATATAAGCGTTCAGTAAAAGTTTAAGTCTGAATGACCTCTTCAGCTGGGCTTGCAAGTATTGTATTCAGTAATTCTGCCATCTTTATTTTGGTATTAATACCTGTGATCTTCCCCTGTGTAGGTATGAGTACCGTGTGGAAATGGTTCACCAGTCCACCAATGATCCCACCAAAAACATAATTCGAGAGTTTGCCTCCGATTTTGAAGTTGGAGAATGCTGGGGTTACAACAGATTCTTTCGTTTAGACTTGCTAGCCAACGAAGGCTATTTAAACAGGCAAAATGACACTGTGATCCTGAGGTAAGACAGACAATGTAGTGGGACTCTTTCCTGCTATCATTTCACAAAGTATCACACCTACTACTGAAATAGGAAATAATTAAGTAGCTGAGTTTAAAATAATTGTGACATGTTTTGTCACAAATGGATTTCACTGTCAGAAGCTTTAAAGAAGAAAATGTGCTAAAGGGAGTTGTGGAAACTTTAAGTATATCTCTTTCTCTGAGGAGTAGCTATGCTTGACACTAAGCCTGGATTAGAGATCTGTAGCTACCCGAATTAAAGGAAAAGGATGTCTTCTGCCCCTCTTTAGAAACAGTTGTAGTGAGTATAGGAAAACTTTGGGAATAAAGGAGTCTGTCATTTAAGAGAACCAGTGCCATCAGTGGGAATTGCAACGTTATGACAAAATATAGAGGCTTTATCCATCTATTTCAAATATTCTCTGTACTGTCTTACTCTTGCTTTTGGTAATTGCTTTGTAGCATGTTAATTTTTTTAGGGTTGGTTAGTGAAGATAACCACCTCTCATAACTACCTCTCCTACAAAATACTGTTGCCATTCAGTGCATTCAGGATACTAAGTATGGAAGTACATGTCTGATAAGTTTATTTCATCACTAGATTTCAGGTTGTATGATGTTCTTATGGAGAGCTTTTCAGATTTTGGTAGGGGAGATGAAAACAAAACCTAAACCAAACAACCAACCACCCAAAAAAACCCTTTTAAAATGTTCCTTTGAAGGTTCCAAGTACGCTCGCCGACCTTCTTCCAAAAGTGCCGAGATCAACACTGGTATATTGCTCAATTGGAAGCAGCTCAGACGAGTTATATCCAGCAAATAAATAACCTTAAAGAAGTAAGTGGGTTGTATATTAATGTGAAATCACCTAATGAGTAAATTACCTGTTTCAGGTTATAGTGTTCGTGTTTGACAATTGTGTTTATTTGGGTTGCTATTGGTAGTTTGATATTGACATTATTAAAATAGTCAACAAACTTACTTGACTTGACAATGATGCTCCATTGTTGTCTTCTATGTATACTTTTGTGTATCCTTCTAATATTAAAGAGGCTTGCGATTGAACTTTCCCGGACTCAGAAATCACGAGGCATTTCACCTCCAGACACTCATCTTAGTCCCCAGAACGACGATGGCCCAGAAGCAAGATCAAAGAAATCTGGACAAAGCACTGAAGTACTACTTGAGAATGTTGCTGCTCCAGGATTAGTGCGAGATAGCAAGGAAGAGGAGGAAGAGAAGGTCCAGCATGAAGACTTTAATGTAGGAATTATCTTTTTCCTGCCTCTTTGTTTATGTGTAGTTTTTTATGATAGTATAGCAATAGAAACAGAGGTGAACTTCTGAATTGTAGATTAGATTTATTGTCCTCTGTATGGAAATAGGAGATAACACACTCAAGAGCTAGCAGTGAGAGATGACACTAGAGAGATGTTCCAGAATAGAGCTAGTAGATCCCACCACAAAAAAGTTTCCAAGTTGCAGCTGACAAATCCAGCTTCTCTGTTTGTTACCAGTCTTTACTGCGCTTTGAGACCCTCCTAACCCCTGTATGATAGTGTGACGCTCTGGGAGAGAGAGTTTCTATTCACAGCTTTTGGTGAATGCACCAAAGTGCAACTGAAAAGTTTCTTTTTGTAAAGACTTGTTCTGTTTTTCCTGTAGCATGAGCTCTCTGATGGTGACTTGGATATTGATCTTGCTGGAGAAGACGAGGTGAACCACCTTGATGGTAGCAGCTCTTCAGCTAGTTCGACAGCAACTAGTAACACTGAAGAAAATGATATTGATGAAGAAACCATGTAAGTAACTTTAAACGCCTTTTGAATCATCATCTTGTCTGCCAGGGTCATCATCCTAATTCCAGTGGAAACTGACTAATTTGCTATATCACAGTTACGAGGTGTGGGGGATTCCAGTGCAATGTGAGGGGTGTTTCCTATATTGGGAACAACAGGAACTGATGCAGTTAACGCTAAACATTGCATTTTTGGTCAGCTAGCTACTATCTTTCCAATCTCTTAATTTATTTAGTGTTATGTTCTGTCTTTGACAAGTGATAGTCTGTGAAGGTTCTTTCCCCAAAAGACTATTAAGAAATCTGTTTCTACAATGTGATGAAAGAGAAGTTTGTATTAGGAAGTGTTGTAGTAGTAAGAGAGTGATGATAAGGACAGTTACTGAAACTAGGGAATTTAAGGTTCTTAGCTGAGACGATGTCAGATCCTAGAATCTTCATTAAAACATGAGAATGTGTTGTAACACATACAAATATAGTAGTTTGTAGGATCAGATTTTACAGTCTAGATACGTATGGCACTTTTGGACTCTTGGTTATTGAGTCAGTCATTTAATTTAACACACTTTGATTTGTTCAGTTGTGTCATTTGGAATGCAGAAAATACTATTTACAGTGTTTCATGTTGTTTTCAAGGTATGTGCCATAATGTTTAACAAAAGCTGAAAAAAGCTAATAATTTCTGTTCTCCTTTTTCCACCTCGATCATCTCTCAAGGTCTGGAGAAAATGATGTGGAATATAGCAGTAATATGGAGTTGGAAGAAGGAGATCTCATGGAGGATGCAGCAGCTGCTGCTACTCCTGGAGCATCAGGTATGAAGAACAGCCTTCAGAATTCCCATATATGTGAAACGCTGCTGGATTCCTTCTGCTGTTCTTCTTGGAAGGAACACCAAGCTGCGTGTTCTGCAGGCATTTCTATTTTTGGAAATGCTGCACCATGTGGTTTGTACTGATTATTGCAGTGTAGCAGAAACATTTCATTGGCTCAATAAAAAAAAGGGGAAATCTTCTGAATGTGCTTGTTTAAAAATGGTGCATGAGTTTGGGGGGAGGCTTTTCTGCCTCTTCAAAACCCATTCCATTCCAATCAAAGTAGACTTCCGAGCAATTTTTACTGATGTCTCTGTGGCCTCTGAATGTGTGACACATGCCCTTAGGTTTTAGTGCACTGTAAAACATGAAGTACGTGGAGGGAATGAAGTAAAGAATCCTTACAAGTGAAGCAGAACTACATTTGAAATGCAATAATGAAAAGATGCTCTAAGACTTCTTGCAGCCTAGAGATGATTATAGCCCAAATTAGCCGTAGGTTAATAAGATTCTGAAAGAAATATTTGTGTATGGACTATAAGTATATTTATCTATGGCAAAGATGCCAGAGGTGGTATTTGTGCTGCTGTAGAAATCTGCTAATACTTGAAAGACAGAATTCTTTAACTGTCTTGCTTTTAGCTTCTGTTTCAAAACTACTTGAAAATTTCTTGTGAGCTAGGAAGTTGAGGGACACGTCTGTTTCCTTGGGAAAGGACAGCCTGTAGAGTAGGAGCACAGTGGCTGTAGAAACAGCTTTTTTTTTTTTTTTAGAAGCTTTTAAAAGTAATTTTTAACAGCGTTTGTAAAAGCTGACACAATCTCTTCCTGCTTGCACTATCTTCCAGTCTGGAATGTTAGTAGTGTCACCTGTCTGTGGTGGAAGGGAGTTCTAGTAAACTGTACAATTTTAGTCTCTCACATCTAACTATTTTCTGTGAAGACTCTCGTCATCTTTTGAGTACCTTGGCCCCTATGTAATGGGAACATGGTGACACAGAGCAGAACTTAACTGAAGATTCCCACTAGAAAGTTTATGTGCATGTCTTCAGAATAAATGCTCTTTGTACTGATTTGTTTACCAATCTATTTAGTAAGAGATTTATTAAAAGATATGAACTGAAATCCTTTTTTTCTCTTCTTTTGCCCTCTGATGCTTTTTAACATAAACTTTTAATTAGAAGCATATCTGATTGCTGTAAGAATCCATAAATGCATGAAACAATACTGATGTCTTGCAGAACTCTTGTCTTTTTGTTTTTACAGGGAATAGCGCATCACTTGTCATGTATATGCACACTCTTCCTCTGTAACTTTTCCTTAGGTACTAGCCATGGCTACACCAGTGCAAGTGGAAGACCTTCAAGGCGGGGAAGTGCCCTAGGCTCAACAGCCAGTAGCAGTTTACTAGATATAGATCCCTTAATTTTAATCCACTTGTTGGATCTAAAAGACAGAAATGGTATGGAAAACCTTTGGGGCCTTCAGCCACGTCCTCCTGCCTCTCTTCTGCAGAACAGAGGTAACCATACATCTCATATCAAATGGTTTAATTCCAACTTGGAAATGGCTCTGAGAACAGAGTCCCAGAGTTAGAAGCAGATTTGAGGAGGGGAGGGGGAAAAGGGGTGCCAGGTAGTCCTTTTCATAAATAGCTGCACTTCCATATCCTCATCCGTGCTCATCACTATGCTGCATCTTACTGCTGGCTCTAACACATGCTTTGTCTTAACGGTTGACCTCAGCTGGAGAACACCAGATGACTGAACTGAAAACAGAAGCGTCTATCGAGGAGGGTCTTCTCATCTTTTCTTAGGGGATGTGACTGAACTGGCTGTCTTTTTTGTGTAGCAACGTTGTAGAGATACAGTTCATGCAGTTTCTTTGACCACAACTGTGGGAGATGAATGAAAGGTCCTTTTCTAGAAGGACTTAGCACTGAAAGACAACACAGAACAGCTGTCTGCTGAGAAGGCAGTTACACCTCTCACTTAACACAGTTTGTGTGCTTAGTGGCTGAGAGCACCGTGTGCACTAACCAGAAATTAAATCCTGGAATTTATGTTGATATGAAAAAGGCATTTAAAACAGAACTAGAAAAATGTATGTAGTAGTAAGGCTGGAAGAACATGTGTAATGATTAGTGAAAGAAAAACGGATCAAAATGTCAGAAGCCAAAAATAGTGGTGATATTTAAATAATGGAAGACTTTGAAGAATATTTGTGGTTCAGTTAGGACCCTTCAACTGAAAACAGCGATGAACTTCATGTGCAGCAAAAGCAACTGGCAAAAGCTGGCAGCTCTGACACCCATGGCTGTTACTGAAGGTTGCTTATTTATCTTGTGGGGTTTTTTTTTGTGAAGAATTAAAATTAAATCCAACCTCAATAATAGATTTATCATGATTAACACTTATTTGGAGTTAGGTGGCCCACTACCCCAACATCTTATTTCAGGCCATTCTGAAACAACCATTCGATGACTTAATAGAACAGAAAAGAAAGAAGCATTTATTTGTAGCAATGGACCATTGCTTTTGCTGCAGCAATGCCATTGGTGTTATTGAATCTAAAAGCTAGCTCAAACTATTTGTTCTTTTGTGATTAGCTTTAATTGTAGTCACCTAAACAGATGAATTTTCAGCTGAATGTAATCCATATTTCCAAAAATGGAAGTCAGCTCCATAAGTACGAACAGGGGTGGCAGCACATGAACTGTGAGTCTCAGCTCTGTTGTGCCTGTAAAAAGGCCTAGACAAAAGGCCCTTAAGAGAGGGTGTTGCACTTTGTGCTGTACTACTGAGGAGATTAAGCTCTCCTGTTGTGTTGAATGGCTTCCTGGTCATCTTTATCTACTGGCTACGCAGCTGAAATTACCTGTTTTGCTGAGGTTCCCTCAAGGTTTGACTGTTCCCAGAGCTTATTCGAGTCAGTCGACTAAGAGAAAGCTGCTGTTACGTTTGGGGTTTGCTAGGCTTCACCTCCTAAGGTGAAGGTTTCTAAGAGCCACTTGGCTTTACAGTTTCGAACAGCTGAATTTGCAGTGAAACGCTTATAGAATTTATAACGCTTCAAATAGACATCAAAGTTGATCTAATTCTAGCTGAGCAGCATGTAGGCTTACTCGGGTATTAGCTCCTCGACCTTCTTTCTGGTGTTAGGTACTCAAGAGAATTCCTTGCCTAGTTTCAGATTTCTTTGAGTTCTGTATGTTAACATGATATGTTGGTGGCATGAGAATCTTACACACGCACTCAACAAACTTTATAAAAACACATAATGAATTTGACATAAACTGGCGACCAGGCTTGTGAACTCAAGCTTGTCTGGCAATATGGAGTAGTAGCTCAGTTGTCATCAGCATTCACACAGTAGAACTGGGAGCCTTGGTTCTTCCATTGAGCAGGTTTTGGGGTGGTCTTCCATGGGGCACGGAATGAAGATCTGTCCCCGTAGCTGTACAGTGCTTGCAACCTAAATGTTATGGTGCCATACCAGTACAGGAGAATGTCTCTCTCCCTCATTTTTATAGCAGAGCAAAAGGTAGAATTCTTACAGCTGTTAAAAATAGATGTCTGTTTTCATTTGAGAACAGTTTTACTCACCTGTTATTCTTTAACTTTTCCTTTGGTAAAGTGTCATCCTATTCTCTAAAAGATCGAGATCAACGGAGGCACCAGGCCATGTGGCGCGTGCCACCTGACTTGAAGATGCTGAAAAGACTTAAAACTCAGATGGCTGAAGTTCGAAGTAAAATGTCTGATGTAAAAAACCAACTATCAGAAGTGAGAAGCAGCAATGCTGGCTCATGTGATGGACAGCCCAGCTTCTTCTCCATCGAGCAAGGTGCTTTAGCAGCCTGTGGGACGGAAAGCTGCAGCAAGTTGGAAGAACTAGGAATGGAACTACTGACAAAGCCTTCAGTTACCAGTTGCTACATAAGGAATTGTAAGTGCATAGAAAAGGGGGGATTTAAATGTCACCCTTACAGAAGCCAGTTGTACAGGTGTTTTATATATCTAGGCACCTGGAAAGGGACCCTTTATTGTTACTTATACTCAAGTTCAGCTATAAGAATCCAGAAACGTAAAACCTGTGCTGCCTTTGAGTAAGTAAATGTTACTGAAACTGGTTTCAGCCCTTCTCAGTAAAAGTGCCAAAACTTTTGCTCCACCACCAGTAGCACATCTAATGTGATGAGGATTCTGAAGTTTAACTCTGTATGGAACTGATTCTAGCTGAAGGTCACTTCCTGTTGACTGATGCTCTGTGTCTGGCACATCTATGAACTTGATGTTTCATGACGCTTGCCAGTGGAAAAAAATATAAAATTCCAGACTTGCTATACTTTAGTACCTTGAAATCTTGCTAAAATTCAAGTAAGTCTCTGGAGAGACTTTGCCCTTTGAAAAGTGACTTCTTTCAAAGAGGTGCCTGTGTATCAATCTGTTGAGGTACTGTTACAGAGTCCTGCTGGCAGCACTGGTCAAACATTGTGGAATCTTTCGGATACCAGCATGAAGGCTGTGCCAGTGCTTTGTTGCTTACGAACCTGAATAAAAGCACTGATGGTTAATTTTCTCTCACTTCGCTGTTGCCTGGGAGAGATGATTTTCCAGTCATCTGGGTTTCGATTCAAGTTATTGCTTGCATTTTGGAGCCCAGATGAGTAAGAAATAAATTATAAACATGAGTGGACTAAAGAACTGGTAGGATAGTTGTTTCTCTCCATCCTTTTCAATACTGACCTGTGAAACAGGGCTTTTGCAACTGCAGCAAAAGTCTCTCTTGCATTTCTTCACTTCCACAGAGCAGAGAATTGCTTCTCTGGTGCACATTAAGAGAAAGTTGTGTTAAAGTTTGGAGCCTTGAATCATGCCATCAATAAGCCACAGAAGGATCAACCCACTTCATTGGAAGTGCTGGCTTGTGTGTTGTGTGGTTTTTAATACCACCTCTTTCCGTAGCAAATGCCTCATCCTTCAGAGGTTACTAAGGCACGGGGCAGTCATTCCATTCTGCATCAGAACAAGAGGAACAGGCATACAGTGCTCTAAAACAGGAGCAATGTTCTGACTTGCAATGAAGCCTCAATCCCCCACCTTTATGGGGTGTGGTGGCACCAGAACTTTGCTGTTCCAGTTACCATTCCTCCACCTGGAGAAGTTTCTGTAGCAGGATCCACACTGACGCATGCTCAGAGAATGGTTAGTCTGGGAAGTGGTAAACAGTGTGAGCTCCATAACATGCCTTTCACTCCTGCTTTTGAGGGCCTTTGTTACACTGGACTTTAAGAGCTGAAGGGATGGTTTTGGCTCTCCTTGTCCTTTATACTTTCATGATGTCTGTGAGCAATCTGGATGATGGCTTCCTGAAGGATGTCTTAGTGTAAGGCAAGTGAACATTACTTGTGTAGTCTTGGCTGCATCCGTAGTTAGCTCAGCTTCCCTCTCGCCCACATCTTTGATAGGAAGGATGTGGAAGGAGTTTTGTGCAGGATTGGGAGCCAATGAGCAAAGAGACTGATAGGGAGCTTAACTTCACTTAAACTGCTGCAGCATTCTGTCTTTATGCTTGTTTTGACTGAACACTTGTCACATCTTAAAATATTTTTGCAGCTGCAAGTAAGAAAAGTCATTCACCCAAACCCGTTCGCTCTGGAGCGGCGGGTAGTCTGTCTTTGCGAAGAGCCATGGACTGTGGGGACAGTAATCTTCGTGTGAAGGGAGATGGTCAAACTTCTGAAGGTAAACAAAATCATCTTGGCTTATGTGCTGCATCTTAGCATCTGTTGTATAAAAGCTTTTCAAGAAGACTTTTACTTGGCAGCTGAAGTTTCCCTAAAACTTGATCCTTTCTCAAATCTGGTTAACATGACTGTGCCTGTGCAGACCTTTGGCTGATGAGCTGTGACACAGCGCAGCACAGGTGGCTCGGCGGAACATAAATGTGTGTTACATGTTACTGCTGGTCTCTCTGAGGATGTTTCAGGCACTAACTTTGCAGTGAAAGTCATAGATCAAAAAGTACTGACGCAGTGGTTGGACTTAAAGGGAGTTCAAGAACACTCTGGATACATGTGATAAGAGTTATCTGATATTGCTGCTCCTGAGTTTTACGATGCCCTTCCTTAAGGGTAATGGAATGAAACACCCAGCACAGGAATTGGTATTTTGCTTCTCTCAAGTGTTCAGAGAAGGAATGGGGTATGACAGTTGTTTTCTTGTAATGGTGAATAGGTACAGAAGGCTTGGGTGAGAAACTGGAAGATACCATAAAGTGTAACTGTAACCTTAGTTCCTGGTTTCACCCTTGTCCACGACTAGAAAGGCTGCCTTACTGCAGCCAAACGACGTTGCATCAATAGCTGGGAAGAATGACAGCGGAGAGGGTGTCTGTGTTCCTAGAAGATAAGTAGAAGATAAGTTTTAACTACCCAAGATGGGTAGGGAGTAATCTGTGTTACCCGAGTCTGCCATCAGGAATGGCAGCTGAAACAGCAGCTCTGTGTGGTTAGAGAGCGGATAGCAAATGGAACGTGCTGCCTGTATGTTGACTGGAAAATGGAAGGTTTTAAGAGTGAGGGTGGGGAAGGTGTGCTTGTGCGTACACGTGTTTGGAACCAAACTGGAGATGCAAACCAACTGGATGTTTAGACTTTTGAAGTAATGCTGGATGTGCTTTGAGTTTCTCCCCCTCTTTCCTCAGGTGGCATTGGGAGCTCGAAGTTGGGCAGTCGGCATCACTCTGCCAGGCCCTTGGCTAACAGCAGCGCTTCTGAGCCGCTGCCTAAGCCAGAGGAAAGGCCTTGTGAAGGTTCAGATTCCGACGCGGGAGTTCCTGGCCTAAATGGCTTAGCTGCCGTAGAGAAGACCAGAAAAGTTGGTGCTCTAGGGTAAGGGTTTTATTCTTTTTAACTCTTGTTATCTCCTCCCCCACCTTCCCTTGATCTAGAAAGAAAATACCAATCTGCTAAAACCAGGTACTTGTAGCATGGAAGAGAAATTACTTTGAAGTTTACTTGGTTGCTGCTGTTCCCTCTGGATATCAATTTTTTGGTTTTATAACTAGGTTACAAGTTGTCTTTTCTTTTTTTTTCTTTTATTTTGATTAGCTGTGGACATAGTCTGGCACTTTGATTTGAAAGACAGGCCCAGTCTATTTTCACACTATTCCTTGCAAAATATCCTCTAACTGAAACTTATCACTTCTGATTTCCTTTTTTAAGGCAATATTTTTCACTGTGACTCTACTTTTCAGCAATTTCATAATAACGCCCTGTTGGCTAACTAAGCAAAGTGCAATGGAGCAAGTACTCAGGTTATTTTTCTTCTAAATAGCAAGAGTTACCATTTTTGGAAAGTACTCATCTCAAACTTTTCCGAGTTTAATATTTCTAAATCAATCAAAGCTGGAAGTTTAAGTTGATAGGCAAGAGACTTAAACAATCAGTAAAACTAGATGTGGCACTAAAAGGATTTTTTTTTCCGTAGCTGGATTAAAGCTGAATTTCTAACATAAGTTTTTATATTTCTTCTAAATTCTTTCTTAAGATCAAATTCTAAAGGATGTCGTACAGAAGGAGCACAGTCAGGTGGCCTGGAAAACAACTCTGAAGCTGGTGAACTGCAGGGTATGCTTTCTGAAGGTGCTTCTGCAGGGCCAGAAGAAGGTAAATCAGATGATGTAGAGGTCAAATGCAGTGTGACAGCACTCCAGTCTGTGATGATCCGTTTCTGTAATGGAAATAGCTCGAAGGGGAAACAAAAAGAGGAAAAAAGCCAGCCCCCCAACAAAACCCAAAACCTGTTCTCATGGCTGCTGAACTTTGCAGCAGCATTTGGCAGCTGTGGTATAAATCTGAACGAGGAGAGAACATCTGTAAAGACCCAGCAGATAACGTTAGGTGGTGCCGTCTGTTTCCCTGGACTACTGGTTGCTTTTGTACCTCTCAGTATGTCTCCAGGTCTCTGCTTTGGTGTTGAGTTGCACGGCTTTGAAAATAATTTCGTACCTAATTAAAATAGTAGCCAGTGACCTTGGCTTTTAGGTCTTCTGCCTTCAGGGACAAACCACATTGGTAACTGCCTCTACGTCTGTGCTAGAATCCATCCAACACTTCATTCGTGTCGGGTGTTGTGGTACGTAAGCCAGTTTCCTTAGAGACTTGGAGGAAACTTTTCCCCCCTCCCTTCCTGCATCCTTTCCATGCTGGAAAAAAATATTACTGCTTTTTTTTTTTTTGAAAGTCCACGTAGAAGAGGCTTTTTTTTCTTATCTTGCTGAAACTCTCCTGCCTTCCACCCCTGCACTAATTTGAATTTCAATGACTGAATTGTAGCGCAAAGCCTATATTAAGGTGCCAGCATCCATCTCTATCTGCAGTGTGCAATATTGTGTAGGAGTTGGCATTTACAGAAGGTCTCTCAGTGACAAAACTGAATTTCTGCTCTTAGTCACTGCAGCGTGATCGTGATGCGTTCCCGCAGTTGTTCTGTTATAGCAGAGAGCCTAATAGGAAAATGTTTGAAATACTTCATTGTTAAAAACCCCAGGAAACAAATGTTACATTTTTTTCCTTTCAGAGGGAAAACTACAGTGGAGTTGCCTCCTCACTTAACTACTTTCTTGTTCTTAGCAATGAGTATCAGCTCTTCAGAAGTGAAAGAACAGAGCAAACCCCTTTTGTCACCCACAAAACTGTACAAAAGGGAGAATTTTTACTGCTGTCAACACATACTCAAGGTCTGGCAAAACAAAAGAAGCCACCTTGATTATCAACAGCTATGGTTCTTTTTTTTGTAGGAAAAGCATGTTTTATGTGTGTGAGATGAACAGGGTATTGCTGCTTGAAGGGTCTGGTAGGTGCATCTGCTCCACGGGTCATACTAGCTCTCAACTATTAGAAAAACAACCTTTATTTTCTGTCCTAGTTGTAGAGGTAGACTGAGCAGCTGCTGGGGGAGCACAGCTCAGGCAGGAAGGAGTGGTGGACACCTGAGTCTGCACTCAGCTGGTGACATGTTGGAACTGGTCCCTCTTGAGCTAAGCTGCACAGCAAAATGAGGCTGTCTTCAAAGCTGGTACCCACTGTTCTGTCAAATTCCTTGGCGCTTTGGTAAATACATTTAGCTCTCAACATGCTCCTTCTCTCTTGTTCTCCTGCCAGCTCTTGGTATTTGATTTTGGTAACTCTTACATGTGAAAACGTTGAATGCTCCAGCTATGTAGATCTTACTGCCATCACTTTCGCCTTGTGGTTTTGGGGTTTTTTGCAGCTGGGGTATGTCAGAAGCATGTCCTTCATCTCCTACCAGGAATGAGCAGTGACAGTGACATTGAATGTGACACAGAAAACGAAGAGCAGGAGGATGCCACCTCTGCCTCGGAGGGGTTTAACCATGCCTTCTCTGTCCAGTCCTCAAGCGAAGGTAGAACTGACTGTCTGAGCCCACCTTCCAAACAATCCCGCGGGTCTTCCTCAGGGCTCCTGTGACACAGAAGATCCCTGATGGCGCAGCAGAGGGAGGTACTGGGGCTCAAGCAAGTGCCAGTGAGATTTGGAACTCCTCTCTTGGGATCCTAATTAAAACCAGATCAAAAGAGGAGAGGGGAACTCTTTCTAGCCTTGAGAAGTCAGTTTAGGTGAGTCTCCTGGGGAAGTGTAGGAAAATCCATAGCTCTAGTTCTTCTGAGTTGGAACTCCCTGTGTAGCAGGATTGGCAGGTTAAATCTGCTAATTTCAGGGAGAGAACCACTGCCTTAGATATGGATTTGCATCTGAATTGGCAGAAATGTGCTTCGAGCACTTCAGTGTAGTTTGAAAAACTTATCTCATGTTTTTTTGAAAAGCTTTAACCTTCTGATCAAATTAAAAACTGGAAGGTGACAGCTGACAGTGAGTGAAGTTGACTTTTGGCCTGAATAAGCATCCCACACCGCGTTCACAGCGTGGCCTAACCACTTGGCTCAGTAATTGGAGTTTGCTGCGTTGCTGTATGTGTGCAGCAGGCACTAAAACCTCACAGCTCATCGGCAGCAGCAAAACATGGCTCAAATCTGCACTCGACTTAAAGATATCTTAAATTTAAAACCCTGTGGCGGCCTTAACTCTGTCAAGCACATGGGGAACTGGTGTATTAGGGATGAAGTACAACGCAGGGGGCCCTGCAGGTGATGGAGCGTTACCTTGCCGTGTTCCGATTGCTCATCTGGTGAAGGTTACTGAGTTTTCATTTATTTTATTTTCAGCCTCAGAGCGGTGCTCAGTGTTCCCAGAGGGCGATCAAGTCGGTCCTGATGATCTCAGCTTTGTTCCTGGAGAAGACAGCACCAGGTAATTGTAACTGCTTGCCTTGGCCGGCCTGTGAGGTGGCTGCAGCCCTGGGGACGCACCTGTCCCGTCCTGTTCCTCGAGCTGCAGAGATGAGGCAACGTTTGTCCTACTGTGAGTAGACACGGGGGGGTTGGTACAGTCTAACACGCTGCGATCTGTCCCCAGCGAGCCCCGGGTCTGCTTCTGTGTGGCTACCTGCCTCCCCAGGGCCAGCAGCCACCCTTGTGTTTAAGGCAGTCCTTAAAATTACGCAGTGCTGAGGGAGGAGTGGCTGTGTTGCACGCTTGCGCAACTGTCAGTAGGAACCCCTGGATGGAATTTTGACTTTTGAGGTTGTATTTGCTTGAAGCCTTAAAACCGTCCCAGTATGAGGGTTTTCAATGGAAGCTGACTTTCTTTGGAGCAGATAGAGAGCGGGCCTGGGGCCTGAAGACGTGTTCCCGGGAAGAGGTGCGTTCATTCACTGGAGCTTATCCCGAGGCTGTTGTTTGTGGCTGTGCGCGCACTCCGCTCTGTCAAATACCCTCGTGTGGTTCTTCTACAGTCGTCTTAAACCTGTTACTGGGGCAAAAT